CTATCTTAGCATCTCGTAACATGTCAAACTCTGCAAATCTTCTTGCTATTTGTCTAATTCTTTGTGGTCTCTGAACTTATTTAGTATCTTCTTCAGATGCTGGAATAGTGTCAGGTGCTGGACTATCTTTAGTGACTTGACTAACTTCAAAGGCTTGATTACCACTAGATTTTGGATCATCATCTGAATCTGGATCAGAATTATATTCATCCTCAGAGTTAGATTCTCATTTAGACTCTTTTTCAGCATCATAGTAACCTTAAGACTCTGACTCATCTTCAGACTCAAAATCTCTTTCTGATTCTGAAATATCTTCATAAGATAACTCATGTGTTAACACTGCACTTGAGTTGGATCGAGACTTGTTCCAATTCTATGCTTCTGATTCTTTCATATTGACATCTCAACTTAATTCAACTTTGTTAGTGACGGTAAAGTAGAGCTTATAAGCACTTGTATCGTGGTACCCTACAAGCAACATAACTTTGCTTTTGTCATCCAACTTCATTCTCTTAGCATCTGGAGCATGTTTATAACAAACAAAACCAAACATCTTTAGATGGCTTATACTTTTCTTATCTCCAGTCCACTTCTCTGAAGGAACAATTCCTTTAGCTTCTTAGTTGGACATCTATTGAGTACATAAGTTGTAGTCGCAACAACACAAGGTGTGAGGGAGTTTCTTCTCCCTCAGCATACTCCTTGTCATATTAAGCAAAGTTCTATTTCTTCTTTCAGCAAGACCATTATTTTGGGGAGTGTATGGAGCATTAACCTCATGCTCAATTCCATCCTCCTCACAGAACCTTCTAAACGCTGTAGAGTTGTACTCACCTCCACCATCAGTTCTGAGAATTTTTAGCTTCTGACCACTCTGTTTTTCAGCCTTCACCTTGAACTTTGGAAACTCAATAAACACTTTGTTCTTAAACTTGATGAGTGTTACCCATGTCATCCTTGCGAACCCATCCATAAAAGACACAAAGTACTTGTTTCCTCCAAGTGAAAGTACTTTAAATGGTCCACAAACATCATAATGCACTTCTCTCAAAGCATGTTTTGCTCTTGGGGCTACTTCTAATGCAAATGGAAATCTTTGTTTCTTACCTTTCATGCTTATCTCACATGACTTCTCAGACTTCACAATCATAGAAATGCCATGTACCAGCTTCTTATAACTCAGATTCCCTAAGCTTGTGAAGTTGAAATGCCCCAATATCTTATGCCACAACTCACTGTCACCTTCAGCACTAAGGCATTTATTGTCATTTGTCTCCACATTCACCTTGAATGTTCTGTTGTTTCCCTATTTGGACTGCATAATCAGCTTCTGATCAGAATCATACAACTTCAAAAGATTGTCCTTCATAGTAACTGAGAAACCTTTCTCAATTAGATGACCTACACTCATCAAATTGTTTTTCATGCCAGGAACATACCAAACACCCTTGATCAGAACAATTTTGCCATTTTTCACTTTGACCTTGAGATTTCTCATTCCTTCAGCATTCAAATACTTATCATCAACACATCTGATCTTTGTCCTCTTTCTAGAGTCAAAACCTATCAGCCATTATTTGTTTCCAGGTAGGTGATTTGAGCAGACAATGGGGTGAGCAGAACCCAACCCAACCCGAAGACCCGTCCCAACCCAATATAGGTGGGATGGGTTCGGGTTGACCCTCGGGTTACCCAACCCGTCCTAAATTATGAATGGACATGTGATACTATTTATTTATTTATTTAATTTATTGATATATTTAGATTATTCCAAATTTTCTATAAACTTTTCCACTTTTCACCTCATAATTTAATTATGCACTAAGTAAATATTAAGTACTCATCTGTTCTCTTACATCATGTTTTTAATTTTACATCTTCTTACTATGTTTTAGGAAAAAAACGTGATGACATATTATCGGGATTTTTACGGGTTTAGGTATGGACGAGTCAGGGTCATTAAAATAACCCGATCAAAAGTTAGGACGAGTTAGGGTTAGTCAAAACCCATCCCGACCCATCCCTTGCTCACCCCTAAACAATGTCCATATACCACCAGTCTACCAAATATCCACCGTCATATTCAGAAGTCATCAATAGCACAGGTTCATCATCAGATTCTCCTCTGAATATGTTTGCTTCTTCTTATTTCCTTTCCTTGTTTGACCAAAGGTCAGCAACAAAGTGACTAAACTTCTTACAACAGTAACATTAAACCTTCTTATTCAAACTTCTCTTTTCCTTTCTGATGTTTCTTCTCATCGGAATTTGAGGCTTCTGACTTATGATAACCACCAGCATGTCTCTTCTTGGCCTCTAACCAAGACTGCTTATGAATCTTCTTACCAGAAGTCACCTTTAAAGTCAGATCTACCTATCTTTCATAGGTTCTCTCATTTAGACGCAACTGTTGTGCCTCTAGACTGCTCTGTAGCCCTTCAATTCTCATGGTGCTCAGATCCTTAGAATGTTCAATAGCTACAACAATGTAATCAAACTGAGGAGTATGAGATCTCAGTATCTTTTCAATGATTACTTGTTTAGAGAGAGTCTCTCCATAAGATTTCATCTCATTTGAGATCAGAATTACTCTGGAGATGTAATAGTTACCTTCTCATTGTTCTTCATGTTAAGATTCTCATACTGCTTACGTAGAGACTAAAGTTCCACCTTCTTCACTGATGCATCACCACCGTAGCATCATATCAGTATGTCCCACACAACCTTCGTCTTCATCAAATTAGCGATCTTCTCAAATACATTCACATTCATCACTGATGAATGTAGAAGAGAGCTTTCTGATCATTTTTCCTCATCTTATACATGTTCCTTTATGCTTCAGTTACATTCGCTGCAACTGTTGCATAACTGTGATTGACGAAATCAAGAACATCTTGAGCGCCAAATAACACATGATCTGAATCGTCCATCGATTAGAATTCTTTCCATTAAAGACTGGAAGCTTTGTGTTTAAGCTACCGTTTCCACCATTCATCTTCGATCTTGTGCAAGAATTTACTCTGATCTCACCAAACACTCGTGTTTCCCAAGAAATGATATTATGTTATGATTTCGAACTTCAATTCACTATGAATTTCAAAACCAAATCAATCACACATGTCTCACGTTCACTTATGTTTCCTTTGGTGTTTCTCATGGATCCGAATCGAAGTTCTAGATATCAATTGCTGGTGCACAAGAAAGAAGAAGATGAAGATAATGAAGATGGAAAAGAAATGAAGGAGTAAATATGTCACTAACTTCTATTGAGATTGAAATTCTATTAGAGTGAATTATTACTCTAACTGAACATAAGGCCATTATTTATTCACACTCTCAAATCTGAATTGTCACATTAAATGCATCTCAAATTTAATTTAAATGATATTTAAATGAAAATGCTAAATGAATATTAGATTTAACTCCAATAAAAAATATAAGAACTCCTAAAATTAAATTCTTTAATTTTATGTCATTTAAGTTATCCTAAATTTTAGTTAAATAAATTACTTTATACATAAATCCTATTTTTTTTAAATATTTCCACAACTTTTATCCAAAAAAAATAAAAAACTCACGTAAGAATAAATCCTCTCAAAATATTATATTATCACAAAATCTTGAAACAACCAATCACAATAAAATCATAAGTTAATATATAAACAATAAATCCCATCAATCACTCAAAAATAATTATTAAGAAACTTTGCTTGAGCATGATGGAGCATGCCTGGTCCGTTTGTCTAATTTATAACTTTAAATACTTTTTTAAAAATAAATTGATAAAAAATAATTTCATAATAGACATAAAAATAATGATTTCTTTTGAAGAATTTTGTACAAACACATAATGCAAATATCTAACCATAGAAAAAATTTCACTTCATAGGTGGCCGACATGCCACGCCCCATTTTGTAGCCATACAAAAAATTCTACTTAGAACAATGCAAAATATTTTAAAAAATTAAAATATATAATATTTTTAATACAAAATATATAAAAGGTCTCAAAAAATATATATAAGTAAGAATAAGTGGCGGAAATAATCAAATGTGCTTTCAACTATTTTTCTTTTTAATTTTAAGCGGTTTTTGTCGGCCAATAATATATGTTTTTTAATATTTTGTAGAGTTATGTTCATTTAAAAATGTCAAAACAGAGTACTCAGCTCCAAACAAACCTCAAATTTTATAGGATTGATAAAAAGAAATGTTATACTATAAGTTAAACAATGTTATCTTAGTCGGATCTTAGATGAGTTGTGGGTTATTCTGTTTTGAACTAGTATATTTTTAGTTATTTTTAATTCAGAATCTTATGACGCATCAACCGAGTGTTACTCTAAAATAGAATAAAATTTTAATTCAGAGATATATCTCTTGATGTTTTCAACCATTTCATGTTAGATATTTTCAAAAATATATTTTTGAAATAAGCTTAAAAAAAACATGGAAAGATCTCTGAATATTTTAATTTGTATGGACATGTTTATGATTATGTATTTTTTTAAAATTTATTTAATAACATGAAGAAAATGCTTATAGAAATTCTCTTCATTCTACATCTTACATATTTTATTTCTCTGCAGGACATGCTTGTAGCCGCAACAGATACCACATCAGCCACATCTGTTTGGACTTTGACTGCATTAATTAAAAATCCAAGAGTAATGAATAAAGTACAAGAGGAAATTAGGAACAAGGGAGGTAAAAAAGAATTCTTAGATGAAAATGATATTGAAAGTTTTCCTTTTTTGAGGGCAGTGATAAGAGAGACACTAAGATTGTACTTACCAGCCCCACTTCTTGTGCCAAGAGAATCAAGATAAAAGAAGATATTGATACTGAATGCTTGGGCTATTCAGAGAGATTCAAATGTTTGGGAAATTCAAGAGGAGTTTTATCCAGAAAGATTCTTAGAAAGCTCAATAAATTTTCTTGGACAAGATTTTGAGCTTATTCCTTTTGGAGCTGGTCATAGAATTTGCCCTGGTTTATCTATGGCTACTGCATCAATAGAACTTATCCTTGCAAACATTCTTTATTCCTTTGATTGGAAATTGCCACATGGGTTGGTAAAAGAAGATATTGATACTGAAATGCTGCCAGGAATCACTCAACACAAGAAGATTCCCCTTTACTTAGTTGCCGAGAGCCCAACGTAGAGGCATCCGTTTACGGTAACTCTGTTTAATTTTTGTTGAATTTGAATTTTAAGTATGTGTGTGAAACATTATTACTAGTCAAAGAAGTGGAAATCCTTATTATTTAATAAATCATCTTCAAATGATTGTTGTATAATAAATAAAGAGGATGCTTCGTGGTTATTATACTTCACATATGGAAGCCATTGAAGAATGGCAAGAAAGCTTAAAGAGAAAAGGAAGAAGATAAAATCCAGAGCAATCTTCTCTTATTGATTGAATGAGGATTACATCAACTATATAGTTGGAGGAGAGATAACAAACTTCATAACAGAATGTAACAAACTATATAACTAACTATTGATAGTGTCATCTGTTAGTGGTTATGGAATATAAGAATAACTCATACTCACATTAGTTTGAAATAAATAAATTATTGGTCTATCAAATTGCATTTTAAAACACACACATATACAATATGTGTGTATGTGTGTTTTCTAAACAAAGATCTTTTATAAATTTAGTAGGTATATTTTTATTTTTTCTTGAATACTTGAGATTGAAGTTGGGCATCTAACTTTTTAAATTGTATTTCTTTATTAATGAAATTAATTTTTTTATTATTAATTTGATTAATGAATGATATAACCCTACTTTAGACAGAGTTAAAATCTCTAATTTTAGGTTGTTCTAAGAATTCAAATTTAATTTTTTTTAAAAGCCTAAAGTAAAGATAGGAAAGAGGTTCCTAGAATAATTGATTCATTAACATTTTTTACTAAAACAAAATAAATTCTATAACAAATTTGATCTTTAGAGATCTTAACACTATATAATTTGTAACATACTTGTAATTTATTACCATCGACTCCTCGTAAGAATTCTTTGGTTATTTTATAATATTGAGTTAGGATCAACTCTTCTAACATGCAGTTTAAATACGTCACGAAATCTATCAAAGCATCTAATTCATAATTTATATCTTTAACAATGATATTTATTTTACTAAACCATTTATGGAGTGTCAATTTCTCTATTTTGCTAAAATAGATATCTTCATTACTCAACAATATTTTCTTCATTATTTTTAGTTGAACTAGATGAGGTTAACATGTTTTGATTAACTTGATTCTTAATAATCATGTTTCTTTGTAATTCTAAAATTTTAATATCTATCTCATCATCTCAGATTTTTAAAGTTCTAATTTTATTCTTTAAATTCTAAATTTCTTTTTGTAAATCTTGAATAGAAACAGTTTTTTTTCTCTTGTTTCTTAAACAAAGCCATAACATCTTTAAATTATACTTTGTGAATATTATTCTTATGAATAACATTTTCATGTGTATAATTTTTAATTTGTCTCATGAAGGTATTCTTGCTTTTCTAGTCTTCCATTTTGTCAAATATTCCTATTAAGGTATTGACTTCATTATTTGTTAAAACATTAATTCTTTTGTTACAATTGCAGAAATCTAACCCGAAACATTTTTTGGAACTATTAATTTGATTTATTACCTCATGATCTCACCTGATCAGAAGGAGTTAATGGTCGGTCACACGTCTGAGTTGTCTGACTGCAGGGGAGAATGGAGGGGGTGTACCTGAAACACACTCAGATGTCAAAGTAAGAGTCGGGAAGAGTGATAACAAGTACAAAAACAGAAGTAAGAATGAGATTACCTGACCCTCTTGTGAAAGAGGATATTTATAGTGTGTCCCTAGCGCAGGGTCAACGGTTACTTCGCGTTGGGCTGGGTTGTCAGGCCCAATGTTGGTAACTGTTAGGGCTGACGTGGCGTCAAGAAGACCAGCACGTGGTCTTCGCCCTAGTGTAACTGCTCCGTGCTATCCGGGAGGTGAAGGACCGAATAATCAGGGCACACGTAGTTACCTGATGACGTGTCTCCGCGTAGGGGACACATTGAGAACGTGAGAGAGGCCAGAGGAGACCTCTGAGCTAGATAGGGTCTGCCCGACGGTTGGGCAGAAGGAAGAGTGTAACACCCCCTTTCTATACCCCAAATAAATTAGATGAATCAATTAGGCACATAGAAAATTTATTTCATCAGAGTTTGATTAAAACATGGTATAAAAGAGGCGCATCACATTATCATGAAATTAAACACATACGATACCTGCTCAAAATAGATATGCAACAATGGGTAACCCACATCTCAATATTTAGAATAAAGCGGAAACATCCAAATATTGAATCAATCACATTCATAAAGGTATATACAACCATCAGTTAATTCATGCTTTACAACATATCCACAGCAGATACATACACATATGTATCACAAAAGAATCAAAACAAATGTAACTCCAAAAGAGTCAAAGGCTTCCTAACTACCCAGATGTTACATATCAGAGCCATTGACCAAAAAGAATGAAGACATCGCTTCACAAAAAGAACCTCCAACTTCCTACTCTGCAATGCCTCATAGAGCATTAGAAAACAGCAGAAGGGTGAGAAACAACATCATAACAGTTAATGCATAAAATTGTATATATACATAGCTCCATAATTATACAAGTTATACTCAAATTATGTTCTCACCACATTAAGCATATACAAATAATCATGTCTCTACACATACACATGAACATTCACTATATTTTCTCCAAACAATCACATACAACATACACAGTTATATTCACGCAACCAATGCATCATACACAGATGACTCATGCAACTCATAGAGACCGACACACGACTCTATGCAGATGCAAATGCGGTACCGACTCATTCAACAAATTCCCTAAGGAATCGAGTATTCAGCAGATCCTCCACGGGATCAAGTACTCAGCAGATTCTCCACGGAATCAAATATTCATCAGATTCTCCACGGAATCGAATATTCAGCAGATCCTCCACGGGATCAAGTACTCAGCAGATTCTCCACGGAATCAAATACTCTAACCAATCCTCCACGGGATTACATGTTATGACCGATTCTCCGAGGAATCACACAATGCAACCGATTCTCCAAGGAATCTAATATAACCATCGTATCATACGAGGTTCTGCAAATCCTCCGAGGGATCATTCAACACAAAAATGCATACTATGCTCACAAACATACTCATTGCATTTATCACATACATAGCATATATCTATCATGCATTCACATTATGCACCATTCCACACATGGTTTACACACATATCAGCCTATCAATGTGTTTCTATTCAATTCGAGCAAATGCACAAGATTGTCAAATATTCAAGATTCATCATTTACTCTACAATCTAGGATTCACGCCTTTAGGCCACCCACAGCACGACATGTCAAAATAGTTCACACATCGATCATTCATATAGGCACTAATCATAATTGAATCAATCAAACATCATGTCATGAACAAACAGCAAAACAAATAACACTGCCAGGTTCGCCAACCTTCGCCTGGCGAAGCCACGCAGCGAATGCTCGCTGACCTTCGCCTGGCGAACTCCCCAGCGAAGTCCACTGGGAGTAATTCTGGAATTACTCGCTGAGGCTCGCTACCCACTCGCCTGGCGAACCTTCGCCAACTCACCTCGCCTGGCGAACTTGCCAGCGAATACAGGGTATTAGCTTCTGACTTGCTTCACTACAGCTCGCTGGGCTTCGCCTGGCGAAGCTTCGCTGCCATTCGCCTGGCGAACTTGCGAAGACAGAACTTCCATGGCTGTCTCAAAGCCCAAACTCCACACAACCAACCGATTAAATCCAAACCAGTCACAGTAGCACAACCCAACCATCACCCGACTAAACTACATCGTCTAATCCGAGTTCTAACCGATTAAAACCTCATTCTACTCCCAAAACCAACTTCTAACCTAAGTGGAAAAAGAGTAGAACTCTACAAAATCCACACACATACACATACAATCATATACATTAAAGAGATGATGGAGTTTCACACCCTTACCGATCGATTGCAAGCTTTGGTGATGATTCCTTGATGATTCTAGGTTTTCCTCTCCACTTTCTCTTCTCTTTCTCTTCTCCTCTTTTCTTTCTCTTGCTTTTCTTCTTATGTTACTATCTTTCTTTCTTTTTCCTCTCTTATTCTATTTCTATCTCTATTTCTTTCCTCTCAAATTCTTTCCAACACTTATCAATCAATTCTCACACTAAAGTGCTAAATGTCTAAAATGCCCTTTTTACTCTAATTCCCCGAAAACTCTCTGAATCGGTAAAATAGATAAAATAAGCAAAACACCACATAGCAATATATAATTTCTCAATTTAAAATAAACATCAATTAAATAAATTAAAAGACTCAACAATTAATGGGAATTCAGAATCGGGGCGTTACAACTCTCCCCCACTTTAGAAATTTTCGTCCTCGAAAATATTACCTTATTCAAACAACTCTGGATGCGATTCTCGCATCTTGCTCTCCAATTCCCAAGTCATGTTGCCTTCCGCGGCACCTCCCCAGGACACTTTCACAAGCGCAATATCCTTGCCTCTCAGTTTCTTAACTTCACGGTCCAAAATACTGACCGGTAAAACTTCAACTGTAAGGTTATCTCTTACTTCAACTTCATCCATTGGGATCACATGTGACGGATCCGGAACATACTTCCGAAGTTGCGAGACATGGAATACATCATGCAAATTCGAAAGCTTCGGAGGCAACGCCACACGATACGCCACATCACCAACCCGTGCGATAATCTGATACGGACCAATAAAACGAGAAGTCAACTTTCTCGACTTCAAGGCACGACCCACACCCGTAACTGGTGTAACTCTCAAAAACACATGGTCTCCCTCTTGAAACTCGAGATCCTTTCTCCTTTTATCATGATAACTTTTCTGTCTATTCTGAGAAGCTCTCATCTTTTCCCGAATAAATTTCACCTTTTCCGTCGTTTGCTGTACCATTTCAGGACCAACTACCGACCTTTCACCCGTCTCATGCCAACACAGAGGTGTTCGACATCTCCGTCCATATAAAGCCTCAAATGGCGCCATACCGATACTCGAATGGAAACTGTTATTATAGGTGAACTCAATCAACGCTA